GGTGGTCGTTGTGCTTCGGACGTTTGCTTGAGGGACTCCACGCGGAGCCTTTGGCTCAATAGCCTGACCCACAAGGCAGTGGGTGATTTGGAGGTTCGCTTGAGGGACTCCACCCGTAGCCTTTGTCTCCATAGGCTGACTCACAAGACAGTGGGTGGCAGATCCAGCTTGGGAATGTGATTGCAAAGCCAGTTTGGGATCTGCTTGAGATCCGTCACACGTAGCTTTTGAGGTTCTGGAACGTTTTATATAAATGTTTTGCGACCGTAGTAGGATAAGCACCTGCGACCACGGCCACACCCAGGTGGGTTTTGGCGGGTTTGCACCAATTTGACCAGGGGCTGCCTGGCTTGAGGCGGGCTGTAGCAAACCATTAAACAACCGGAGTTGCCTTCCCACTGTCAGCGACAATGCGTAACGTTCGTGCTCTACGTCAATCGAGCTGTGAGCTTATAACCCGTAGACCTGTTGTTTCCCATGGCTAGATTTTACGGGAAGTGGGCCATCGACCACTTCCTAACCTCCGAAGAGGATGCGCTAGGATGTTGGCACGCGTCCACACCTGACAGGAGAACGAATGGGGTTCTCAGGCAAAGTCTTTCGATCAAATGTACACCCGAAAGTCAACGAGTCTAGCACATGATCAGTTTACTGACTCATGCGGATTGCTTTCCTGGATCTCAGCACGGAGAAGGGCGAAACCCAACTCCCACCCAGCGGTCGCCACGAGGAGGCGCCCATGACATGAACGAATGACACAACATTACCAGTAGTGGGTAGACCATCTGTCAGGCTCTTGCCACCACCAGCCTCAGCGCACCACAGATTCTCCTTCGCATATATATATATATATATATATATATATATATATATATATATATATATAGTTGCAGCAGTCTGTACATAGACACAGCCATCGAAAAACCATGGGAACAAAATTGAAAAAGTACAAATGTCAGTAACAGATAAAAAAATATTTTTGGTTCCTTTGTCTGTTTTCACACGCCATTTTTGTGCATTTTGAGTAGTATAGTTCTAATCACATTGTTCAAAGCATTTCGATATACAGTCCTTTCATTGACTCCGGTTTCGCGCCAAATCGCCAAGCGTGTCAAGCCATTTGCATTCTTCATTCTTGGGCCTCCAACCAGGAAGACGTACTGGGCCGTCGATTGCTAGACAAGAAGTGAGCCATTTCATAGTTTGCCGCCAATTGGTTGGCTGACCTTCGCGCCTTCTCTTCAAATTCAGTCCTGTGCGAGAAAATAAGGCGCAGCGCAGTAAGCGCTCGCACGACATACGTAGAACGGGATCAAGACACCTCACTTGTCACATTGCGATAAGGCGATTAAGTGGAGGGCTCATGTTTCCCAAGACGCGACACCGGACTTCATTGTTGCGAACCTGGTACTGCCACCACACACGGGTTATCCGCCGCGAGTCTACGCATGTCATTCACATGAAGCGGCCAGCACTCACTTCCACATAGAAGGAACGCACACAAATGTTGTAGACCCTCCTTTTTAAGGAGAGGGATATGTTCCGACGAGGCCACAAATGACTCAGGTTGGTAAATGCCAACCGGGCTCTGGCGATGCGAAGATGTACCTTTTCCAATAGTGCTATTAACAGAAATACAGATTCCAAAGTACACAAAGGTGTCCACAAGCTCTAGCTGTGTTCCTCAAATGGTAAGTGAGGGGGCAGACTACTTCCAGTCCTGGACTAGCACTTTGCACTTCAAGGGGGAAAAGCGCATGCCATACTTGGGCGCTTCAATCGCCAGACGGTTCAAAATGCGCTGTACACTTTGTGAATCGTCACTGAGAAGAGGGCATATCATCAGCATTATCTTAGTCGGTCACACGATTTTCAGAAAGAACCTTAACACCAACATTTTGAGGGTCTTCCAGAGATCTCGACAGGACATCCTCAGCTGCGAATTTGAGCTGGAATGGAGACAGTGGGCACCCTTGTCGCACACCACTAGTGATAGCGAAGGGTGAGGAAAGCTTGTTATAGACCCTCATTCTACCTGACGCTTGATAGTAAAGCGCCTGAATGATGGAAGTGTACTTGCCGGGGACTTGCTTTCTTAGTAGTCAGTGCCATAAAGCAGGCCGATCAACCGAGTTCACTGCAGCTCGAATGTCCAGAAAGACGACAATGGTCGGCTGGTGGTAGAAATGTCGGTGTTCAAGGATTTGGCTTATCGTGAATATCTGGTCCATGCATCCTCGACTGGAAGCTGTCACACATGAGGGCAATGTCGTCGACCTACTCCAAGTCAAGAAGTCGGTCACCAGGAAGCATCTTTACACCTGATTCGTGTCCAGCGAACGCCGTTTCCATGAATTCTTCAATGACGGAATTTTTCACATTGTTGGAGATATTGGAGTGCGGCAACAGTTTGTCGTAAACCCACACTCTGCATGAGCTACACTCCTAAAGCGCTCTGATAATGTTAACGTATTTGTCGAGCATACTTTTTCTTGGTTAGCAGTCCTAAACGTCACGTTGATCCACCGAATCGAAGGCACTTTTGATGTCGAAGAACACTTTTATGGTTGGTCGCAAACGAACATGGTGGTGCTCCAACAATTGACGTAAGTAAAGGTGTTGTCAATGCAGCCTTGATTTCGACGAATCCCGGCTTTATCTTCGCGCAGCTGGCTTTCACGAGTAACAGTCTTTCTGTGGAAAACAACAGTCGCACGCAATTTAGAGGCAGTTGAGAGTAAACTGATTGTTCTATGACTACCGCATTCCGAACGTGAGCCTCTCTTGAAAATTGGGACTATGGCGGAGCGGCTCAGTCTGCTGGGACAGTCTCCTGCTCTAACAGCTTCACTAGCGGTTTATGCAAATCGTCTGAAAAGCAGGGCCTCCAGATTTGCAGTTGGATGAAGCCTATCTCTCCAGCGAGTTTGACCAACTTCAGCCGTCTGACCTCACATGGGACTTCTGTGCGTGAGGGCGGATCCAAGGGTTCGACCTGAAAAAGAAAGCGACAACTCAGGATGGTTGAACTGCATTTCAACATATTCTGCCCAAAACTCCAAGCGTTTTAACAAGCTGTGGATCGGTTGTTCACTCTCGTCGCGTACGGTCCAGCTAACACCAGGTCTGCTGCTGCCTGTTTCCATATCAGGTGGAATAATTTCCGGTGATTATCAAGGGCATCGGCTGTCTCCATCTCCGGGGCACAATGAGACCACTCGGATTCGTGGTCTCTCTTCAGGCTATCACGCGATTCTCAGTGTATTTGCTTCCAGCCGGAACACGTCGGCCAGCATCCAGAAGTTCCAGAGACCGTGTAGAGACCTAATGTCCAGGTTGTCAATTTGATTTGCCACATGAATACATGCCCGCTGCTGATAACGTCTGGCGGATATGCGACCAGTGATTTCCAACTGTGAGCGCTTAATCAGCTCGCATGCCATCGTACTTTGGTACGCATTCAGAACACCTGGTTTCGCTAGTTGGCTGGTGTCTATTCTCTCGCAGCGCCGTTGCGGACATCCGCCGAAACGCACCCGCAGGTCGGCGCTTACAAGTGCTTGGTCAGAGTTCACGCTCGTGCTCTAAATTGAGCGACACTTTTGGACGCAGCCTCTCCAGCGGTAACAGATTGCAATGTGATCGATTTGCGTCCATGGTTGGCGGGCGTAAACTCACTCTTCTGTGAGGGATGTCGAAAATTAGGACTCTCGAGAAAGTGACGAGCATCTTCTCACAGGTGTAGCAACCGCTCACCGCTATCATTACGAGAGCCTACACCATGTTGGCCGCCCAGATGAAGCTCATCAGAGGAGACTTTTTGAGTTGGGCGTTCAGGTCATCAGTAAGCATCACAATGTGTACTTTTTCGGTAACGAAGGAGCGCTTCTATTAATGACAGTGCTCGTCTTTCACCGAGTCAGTGCTACAATTTGTGGGCGCGTAGGCCGTAATGACAACTAGGCACCGTTTGTCCTTGCGTGACATCGGTGCTATGAGCGAGCCAGCCCATCTGACAGCACACAATCGCCTATTCACCGGCATGCATTCGATCAGACAAGCTACAGCCTGGGGGGTCAGAGCAATGCCCACACCTGCTTGACCGGCATTTCAAGCTGCGTCATCTTCTGACAAACGCATTGGAAAAATACCACGACTGTCGCATGTTGGGTATCACACGGAAATCAGCAACCATTATTCTATTCGCCAAAAGTAAATCAGTGAAATGATGGCACATTTAACTTATTACTCTGTTTGATATAGGTCTTTGGTTAGCGTCCATTGGTAACCATACTTTTTGTCCATGGGCTTATTCCTTTTAATCACTTTAAAATGCACCGAACAAACACGTCAACCACGGACGATTACACCTGCTGCATCCAAGGAACGAATCTGTTTGATTCACTTCCAATTTGCCGTATCGTTTGTTCCTCGATACCATGCGTTCACTTCGATTGCGTATTTCCACCACACAATATCCACACGACTGTCTGTAGAATATATTTTTTCGGCTAATTACCTTTAATCACCTTTCTCCTTCATCTGTACAGCAACCAAATCTTGGTTCTTACCTTATGCTGTTTAATACTCCGATTCTGCGCGATTCCGGTTGAAATGCTTTCGTCCCCACATGCTCCTATCTCAGCCATAATCTGGTCACTAAATACCCCTGCATCATAGGCGTGTTGCAGGATCAGCTACTGAAAAGGTACAAGTAGTGTGAGATATTAAGACACGTTTTTAACAGCACAAACAGCTGTCAAAATAGTAAATCCGAATCGCTTCACTCAGTGAGGATAGATGAGTAGTTTGCGTGATGGATGTGAATGCTCTTTAAAAGACTAGGTACATCTACTAATCATTATTGGTCCAAATATTTCTATTGAACTGCTACTTGTTTCTACACTTTTGTTTTCTTCCAGACACGTTACTCTTGCTTCATCTTTTGCACGTTTGGTTGTTTTGCTGTCACTGCGCCCCTTCTTTCTCTTTTATTATAGCCCAAAAAGATGACTTGTTTGGACCAACTAGTTTGTTTCCATCGTCAGATCCATTCAAATACATAGACCCGTTTGGCGGAGATCCCTTCAGTGTACCAGTGAGTTGATTTCTTTTTTTGCTTTTCAACTGAAAGGCCGGTTTGCCTGATGTTTGCATATTTGACGTAGCATAACTTGCTTTTCATCTAGAACTCAGACATTTTTATCGCTTTTCTGTCACGATGGACAGGCAATTGCTTCTCCCAATTGCCTTCATTTTGTGCCCGCACGTTCACACCACGACAGCGTCTTGTAGACAATTAACATGGACATCCCTCCACTTTCCTTTAAACATGTGTTTTCACACTGCTCAAAGCTTTCCACTTGGTCTCTCAAAATCTTGCTATGTGGTATTTCAGGCAAAGGCGACCGTAGCCTATTCCCTTCTTGCCTGTTACCAGCCGTAAGACTCTTGTCCAAACAGACCAACTCTGCCTCGTATGGCTATATGCAACACATATAGACAAACGTGCACCTGATCGTAGATGTTTGGCCATTAGGACACCCACAAATTGTCAGCTCCAGTACAAATGAAGAGGGCATGTACCCCACTGAAATACTGGAGCCGTAGCTCTCTTCGCTAGTTCCGCTTCCGTAGTGTCACGGAGATGGCGCACTTGCTATTGCCAGCAACATTCCCATATACCCCATAATACAAGTATGGGCAGCACACATTTAGTTATGTTGTCGATGCTCGAATTGGACGCAACAAGGTATTGTTGTTGTTGTTTTTTGTTTACGTCGTTTAACAACTGTAATCCAGGCACCGTAGTGCAGTGGATCCGATTTCCATGACTCACGTCTCCAGAACAGCAATACATGGCAACGGCAAGAAAATGATACTGAACACAAATGGAATCAAGAACGAAGTACGTAAAGCTTATGTTGATAGCCGGATGCAAGAAACCGTATGCAACAGCGCGACTGCACCATGTCCGATAGGTCCTCCAACCACTGATATGGATCATCCGTAAGCCCTCATACACAAAGGCAGTACGCACTAGCATGACCGGGTCTGTCAGTCAATTTTCTCATGCTTTTATGCCATGTTATCGACTGGCTGCTTCACCTTTCGCCCAACTTAATGGAGCGACATCATGTGGCGCACGACGATTGAGGCGGCCAACAGGTATGTGGAGGATATGATCTAACCAACGTAAACGATTAAGATTCAGGAAACACTTGAGGGGGTACCCGAAGGCTTCTTGCCGAAAACCACCTGGTGGACTTCAGCATTGCTTACTCGGTTTTCCTCCATATGTGAGCAGTACTCTGCAAACACTAGTGATCAAAGATGATAAAACTTGTGGTGCGAGATGGCCATTTCGCTGATCTATGCACCGAAACGGGCCTTATCGCAATGTTTGATATCTTACATTTGGCTGATAGGCTCAGGCCTCACCGTCTTCATAGGTGGTTGAGCCTCTGGAAAGCCACGCGGGCCTTGCTCCAAAACGAACTTACCTCCTCAGTGGAATGATCACCAAAGTTGACAACTATTAAAATAAGTGAACCGATCCACCATTTCCGATGACTGTTTCGTGATAGGTAAAACCGCTGGTCCATCTGTCCAATTATGCGATGCACATACCGAAGCGTACAGCGCTACACATTATATTTATCAGTGCTTGCATAGTCACTGCGTCAGATCCCAGGAGAACAATATCGTCCGCATACTCCAAGTTTGTCCGTCGGTCGCCTGACAAAACTCCCTTTCCGACAGAGTCTGAAAGGACCGAGTCACTCATGACCATTTCGATCACAAAATTGAAGAGCAAAAGATATTTGACGGACCCCACTTGCAGTGGGAAACAGTTTCCCTTAGACTCTTCCACTATTTTGGGGATCACGGTAGCGAGACTTCAGAATGGAAAGGAGTTTAGCTAGTACGCCCTTTACCGATAGGCAATACCACAAGCTAACGCGATCAACAGGGTCGAAGGCAACTTTCATCTCAAGGAAAACCGTCGGTCGTCTGTTAGTACGTCTCTACTCTAGCAAAGGATAAATATGTGATCTATGCAACCATGACCAGGACAAAAATCAGCCTGGTTTTCACTGATGCGGCTCTCACGAGGACTCATGAATTCGCCGATGAATGAGAACTTTGGAGACAGTAGGAATAAAGCTTCGATGATTTTTACACGAACTTCCCTAACCGTTCTTGTTGATGGGCACTACTGTTGACAGTCCCCAGCCTGAAAGCACCTTTTCAGTGTCCCAAATCGTTCTAACTATACTAGCAAGTCCAAAATAAATCAAATTACTTCTAGTGCTAGTCAATGGTCAGTCGGACTTGACTTTTTACGCCTCCACACAGCAATGACGAGGCACAACATTAGTGACCTTGAACACAATGACGATCTCAACACGCTTAAGTTGGTCAGTCCTTTTTGCGCGTGTGCTTTTCCGTTCTTCTCACTCAATGTCTCCTCACCCTAGGCTCTTTTTTGTGCGCCTTGATAGACTACCAACCTCGTTACATCTATCGGCATCTCATGTGGTGGATGCTTTGTCTCATTTTTGCCGTGCTTCCTTGTCTCTCCTTTACTGGTTTCTGTTCGCCTACCGGAGGAATATCACTTCGGATTTGACCGCATCATTGTCTAGGCTTCTGAAACGATCTTTCCATGGTCGTCTTCTGGTAGCTGTTGGTTCTTCTTTATTTATACATTAAATTGTCATTTATGGTCACGTCCACCGAATGCATGTAGCCACCGGAAGCGAGGCGACGCAGCACTAGCACACTGTCTTCCACGTGCATGCAATCCCTGTGTCTGATTTTTGCGTTCCGCACTCTGTCTTATCAGCGGACACAGGAAAGCCGTGTGTGTGGGTGGGTGTCGGGTAGAAATTCACCACATCTCGACTCCATCAGACAACCACCACACACCCGGGGAAGCACTGGACGGCGTTTCATCCTTTTGGGAATCGTCAGCAATGCTCTGATGGCTATCTGATTGAATCTAGATGTGATGAATTTCTACCTATATCCTTCAAATCCCCCTACTACTGCTGTGAAATATATTTGGTCCGACGATCACGTGATGTTTCACTCGGATACCTTCTAACTCACCGGATGCGTTACGTCACATGGCGCGTTGGCCGATCGTGCAGCTCGACAATGTCCACACACTAGTGCATTCGATTGCATTTAGTTACATCCAGATCTTTAGTGGCTTGGGAACAGTTCCGAGAAGTGAGGTTGGTGAGATGCATGTGACAGACGATGCCACGAATAAGGAAGTCGGGATTAGCGAAAGCCAGAACTAAAGGGATGCAACGACAGCAGATAACTTGGCCTGTTTGTGACCGCAAGAATCACAAGCCTGCCTTGTAATCCGGAGGTCACGGGTTCGTATCTGCGTAGGGGACTGGGCGCCCCTCGCAGTATGCTTGGCCCCAGCGCGACTGAGGGTGGTTGCGTGACAGTGAAACGTTGGTACTGCGTAGCGGCGTACTGCTGATGCCTGGCTCGATTCTGATTTCACAGTGACAAAGTAGCGGCGTTTAAGCGCAGGCAGGCGAATAGTCATGGCTCCTAGGATCTTGATTAGGACTTCTTCTCTGGTGTTATCAGACTATGAAGCATTGCCCTCACCCACATTCTAGCTCGGCAAGGGAATTGGCATGGATTCTACCCGTCCGTTATCACTAGAAAACGTATGCCCATGGCAACGAACCACTCACTCTTTGGGAGCTAATCGGAACCACGTACTCGAAGAACCGTAACCCTCTTCTTTCATCTTCTGCGCCTTGTTTATCATCATCTAATGATCGTCTCCTTTTACGCAGTCATAGTCAGTCTCATTTTTCTATACAATGTTAACTACTACGTTCCACTTTAACTTTTATCCGCAGACAAACACGGTAAACGGAAAGAATTGCTCTGATATTAGTAAGTCTATCTTCTGCGTTTGGTGGGCTTTGACTGTCGAAAGGTACCTGCATATTTTTAATGTTGCTTCTATAATCTTGTTATGTCTGTCTTCACTCTTCGTTTGCGGCTCATTTTGATTTTCCCCCTCTCCGAGTGGGCCATCTGTAATCATTTGCTTATCCTCGGCACTCGTATCTCTGCCTACATACCACTCTTTTGACCATGGGATAGGATAGTGTTAGTTGCTTCCTCCTCCGGCTCTTCAGCTTGTTATTTGTTACCTTCTAGTTTCAGCTTTTGATCCGTTTACTTCCACGGTTAACCCAGTCATGGAATCCAAAAGCATAGTAACGGGCGCGGATTTCGATGCGGTGAGTAGCTATCACTTTGCTTTTCCGTGTTATGCAAGTTCAGTTGCATTTTTGGTCGGTTCATAATAATTTTCATTTTTCCCGGGTTTCCGCTAGGTTTTCGGAGCCCCCGATGCCCCTCCTCCCACTTCGGTGGATCCCTTTGGTGCCGATCCCTTCTCCAGCGTGGAACAAAAGGCACTGTGCAGCGACCTCGAACCAAAACGATCACCTCCCCCACGTCCCAAGACACAGCCTGGTGCAGGCAAACAGGCACGAGAACGCAAAGTAAGTGTTCGCTTTTACCCTTTCTATTCCATTTCGGTTGAACTGATCTCGTTCCCCGCAAGCTCCAATCCCATCCGAAAACAGCAACCAACAATGTGAGGCAAAAACCTGTTGATGGATCAGCTATCGAAACGGTAAAGGTAGTCACAACCTTCACGCCTACTTGTATGTCGGCCCTGAAATCTTCTGCCACTGGAACAACTCTGTCAGCTGTCAGAATTAATAGTTTGATTCTACCATGACCAATGAAATGGTTGTCGCACCCCTCACGTGACACAGTTGGATGTTCCGGGAACGATGTTCTGCTCCTGCTGCATCTTGTTAGTTCAGCGCACTCTCCTATAGAAGTAATCTGCTTTTCTGGAGATTTTACTTTCTCCCTGACAGTACAATTAACTGCTAGTCTGTTTGGTATCTCTGGCGTCTGGGTTACCATTTCCAATCCATCGACCGTGTGCGTCTGTCTGTCTATCGATTACACACTCACAAGTGGCTTGGCTTCAGTTACTTAATCGACGCTCTGTACCCGCTCTGGCTAGAATGCACATATGCACACTGCCACCCAGACGTGTTCTGTTGTTTTCGCGTCGTTCGGCTTCGAGCCATTATTGCGTTCGCAGGCTAGCGTTACTTCCGAACGTGTAAACTTTGACAGTCTCACCGGTTTTATTCCTCTAGCTTGCATTTATCCACTTTTCACCTGTTCGTAATATTTCTGTTCTCGCCTTTAAACAGGCCCCTCGCACTTGCTATGTTTTCGTTCCGTATGCACTCTCCTTGCGTGGTTTATTGGCTTACGGTATACTGCGTTCATTCTCTTTTCGCTATCTAGATCTGTGTGTTTCAACTACTGCTTCATCATACCATGAGTTTACACGCCGGCCGATGGCCGAAAATGTGAGGCGTCTGCTTCGATATCCAGTGATTACAAGTTCGAATCTGCGTAGGTGCGAGCGACCTCGTAGTCTTCTCCCCAGCCCCTGCGTGACGTATTCGTCATGTGGTAACGGAACGTCTGTACGGCTTGCAAGCGTACTGCGGATGTTGTTCTTCCTTCTCTCCACGTCAAGATATATAGACCTGTCTGTGTTCCATGACTCTCTCGCATATGTTGAATTTCCCACGACCACTGCGCATCGATAAGCGCCCCTAACTGCACCGTAGTCCTATATGTTTCTGAAGTTCTGATGTGTGTGCACGTTTAACACATTGTGTTGCTCTCTGCTGCTTTCTAACAGTATTTCTTTCTCCTCCATCTGCTGCTCATACAGGCTTCTTTTGGGCTCAAGCGACCCCGCCTGCTCATCTGTACTAGTGTATACTCTATTCGGCCATCAATGAGAAATAGCATTATTTATTGTGGGTCCACTTTGAGGTCCTCGTGTGATACATGGCCCAGCGTGCACTTTGAGGTGAATCTCAGTCATTTGGATCATACCCAAAACTGGTAAATGTGTTGGGTTACTCACTCCCAATACTGCAATTTACACCTGATTCTAATACCTGTTTTATTTCACCAGAGGGAGATAACTGGAGCTTGGAGAGAACCCTAGCTTATAGCGGCTAACGACCGATGCATCGATCATTGGGTTACTGAGTTCTGCGAGCAACACAGCACATCGGCTAGAACGTCCATGTTAAGTTTTTCAGTACAGTCCATGTGTTACAATTGTGATACCTACTCTCTGTTGGTGCGTGGATTTATTTTAAGCTAAACTCCAACAGTGTTCACATTGAAGACATTTTCGGTTATGCTCCCTCGCCAGCAGGTGCATTTGCCCACCGCTTATATTGAGGATGTTGTGCTGCTCGATCGACTCTGTTGAAACTAGGATACTAGCGGCTCGTAGCAAGTGCACAGCTCTAGTTGTGCGGATATCCTTCGCACAAAGTGTTAATGCTCACTTCCATGATCTTCGCTCAACTGTTGGTTTCTTCGACGGTGCAACCATGTAGTGTACAGAATTGTTGTTTAATATGGCTGCCCTATTTTAAGATAAAAATCAATCGACTTTGTTTGACCCACCGATCATTCACTTTCCGGTGCCATCGGAAGTACTGGAGGTGACCATGGTAGAACTTCTTGTGGGGTATTTGGAGCGTTGCGTGACATCATTGTTTCGGCTCAGTACGAAGTTAGTGGTTCGTAAGCCAGCAACACACTGATGACTTATGCAAGTTGAACTCTATCTACCGTTGCTGTTTCCGAACTTCGCGCTTCCTACCTTGACTTCTCGTAGACATATGACAGGTTGAAGCATACCGTCATTCTTCATATGCTTCAGGGCCATCAAATTAGCGGCCCTATCCTTTGTTGGATTGACAATTCCGCCTTCAACGGCGTCTGAACGTGAGATCTCACAATTCCCTCACCCGCCTTGATGTAAATTCGGTTTGGCCTGCCACATGGCATGGTGTTGTTTGGCCACACCCAATAGGATTTTGCAGAAAAATACCTCACGATACATTTGTCATGCATTCATTATACACGTTAGCTAGAGGTCGGAAACACCTCAGCTACTGTGCCCCAATACATAAAGGAAAAGGAACATAAGTACAACTGTTGCATGCCAGCTGAGCTACCAGCAACGGATAGGCATCGTTCCGGTAAGCTACCAGCCGGCTAATGTGCATCCAAAAAAATTGCTATGCAAAATTATACAAGGCTAAATGATGGGATCGTGGTTGGAAGGGGGAGGCTAAAATGGATGGGAAGGGACAAAGAAACTCACAACACAAACGCCACTGAGGTTGGCTCCTTGCCATGTCAGAAAGTGTATCTAACCAAATGTGTTCATCGTCTTTTGGACCCCAACCAGGAATCCGTGACGCTCCAACCGACGCCAGCTCCATAATGATGGCCTTCATTCCTCCGGACCAAGTCATCGCTTGTCCACCCCTCCTCTTCTTCCATCCACATTCCCGGCGAGCAAACAACGCAAGTCGCGCGAGTCGATGGGCTGGCATGCGCAACACGTGGCCCAGCCGTCGGAGCCTGGTGGGCGAAATGACGGTGCTGAGCGGTTCATTTCCTTTTCCAGTGCCGTAAACAAGGCGTCGAACACGCTCGTTACTCACGCGGTGTTCCCACCATATGTGAGCCAAACTGCGAAGGCACCGATGGTCGAACGTAACTAGCCTCTTCAGGTCCGCCGATCTTAGGGGCCAGGTTTCGCAACCGTACAGTAAGGTCGAACGTACTGCTGCATTGTACACTCTACCCTTCAGGACGAGAGTGCTGTCGCGCCGCCGCTATAGGTGGCGAAGGTTAGCAAAAGCATTTCGAGCTTTTGCTATACGGTTCGTGATCTCGTCTTCGATCCCAAGGGCGCTGATACAACTTCCCAGGTAGTTGAATTTCTAGACGACTTCTAGCTGATCCCCACCAAGGGTCCGCCCAGGAGGCGATCCCTGACAATCTTGGAGGAACATTTTGCACTTCGAGGGTGCAAAGCAAAGCCCGAAGTGACGGACAGCCAGGGCTCATCTGTCCAGTGCCGCTTGGCACATCTGGGAGCTGTCACAGATGATGGCAATGTCGTCTGCATACTCCAAGTCAAGGAGTCGTTCTCCTGGGAGTAGCTCCACACCTTCTAAGTCATCTCCTGTAAATGAAATCTCCATGACTTCGTCAATAGCGAAGAAACGTGACAACGGGCGGTGTGAACCGCTAGAGATATTAAAGGGCGGCGACAGCTTGCCGTAAGCCCTCACTCTTCTCGAGCTACACGCGTATAATGCCCGGATAATATTTACATATTTCTCGGACACACCTTTCCTGAGTAGACAATTCCAAAGAGTACATCGATCAACCGAATCGAATGCACCTTTGATGTCGAGGAACACGACTACGGTGGGCCGCCAATATGTGTGACGGTGTTCCAACAACTGACGCAATGTGAAAATGTGGTCGATGCAGCCACGACCCCGACGAAACCCGGCTTGTTCCGCACGAATCTGGCTTTCACGACCGCCAGTCAGTCTGTGAAGGATGACAGTGGCAAGCAATTTGGAGGCGATGGAGATCAGACTGATTCCTCAATGGTTGCTGCATTCCGAACGCGAGCCTCCTTTGCAGATGAGAACAATAACGGAGCGGCTCCACTCAGTTGGGACAGTTTCCTGCTCCTACAGTTTCACTAGCAACTCGTATAAATCATCCACAAGAGCAGGTCCCCCCCAATTTGAAGAGGGCTGGAGGAAGATCATCAAGTCCCGCGGCTTTGTTCAACTTCAACAGTCCGATCTCACGTTTGACTTCTGAGCAAGAGGGTGGATCCAAAGGAACTGCCCAGGGAGCAGGGCGATTACTGGCCTGCGAAGAATCGAACAATTCTGGTCGATTAAATTGCTTTCCAAAATGCTCAGCCCAACGTTTCAAGCGTTTTGACAAGTTGTGGATAGACTGTGCACTCTCATCACAAATTGTTTCACTAACACCAGGTCTCCTGCTGCACGTTTCCCGTATCAGACGGAATAACTTACGATGGTTATCAAGGGCAGCGGCCACTTCCATCTCTGACGCACGAAGAGGCCACCAAGATTCACGGTCTCACTTCAGGCTAGCACGGGGTTTTGCCCGGAGCTCTTTGCGAGGTTCATTGTGTTCGCTTCCAGCCGGGATATGCCGGCGAGCGTCGATAAGTTCCAGAGAATGTGAAGAGACCCAATATCCATGTTGGCTATTAGACATACCACATGAGGATTTGCCTGCTGCTAGTAAGGTCTGGTGGACATGTGACCAGTGACCTTCACTTGTCTCCAGTGTGCGCTTACTCAACTCGCAGATCAGCTTACTTTGATAGGCATTCAGAACAGCTGGCTTTTATCAGTTGGCTGGTGTCAATGCGCTCACAGCGTCGTCGTGGGCGTCCGCCAAAACGCATCCGCATGTCAGCACATACAAGTGCATGATCGGTGTCCAACATGTACTCCAAATCGAGCGACAGTTCTGGATGCAGCCTCTCGAGCGGGAACTGATAGTAATGTGATCGATCTACGTCCAAGGCTGGTGGGCGCCAAGTCACCCTCCGGCGGGTGCTGTGTCGGAAGTTAGTGCTAGCAAAAAATAAGCGTGCATCTTCACACAAATGAAGTAACCGCTCACCGTTATCATTACGGGAGCCTACACCGTGCTGACCGCCCAGATGCATTTCATCAGTGGACAACTTTCCAATTGATGCGTCCAGATCCCCCGCCAGCACTACAGTGTCCGTGCTTCTTCTATGGCGAAGGAGCTGGGTCAGTTGGCGGTAGAAGTCGTTCTTTACCGAATCATCGCTACAGTTTGTGGGCGCGTAGGCAGCGATGATGAATAGACACCTATTAGTCCTGCGCGACTTCGAAGCTTTGAACGAGACAGCCAATCGGACCGCACACACCCGGCTACTGATTGGAATCCAATCAACCAGAGCAGCTTCAGCCCTGGGACTCAGAGCAATGCTAACACCAGCTTGGCCGGTGCTCGAAGCTGCATCGTCACCAGATAGGCGCAATGAGAAAATACTGCTTGCGTCACTGAATGGGATCGCAGAGTGAGCACAGAGCTCGAGTCTTGCAGGCGGGTCTCCGATAAGCAGCAGATATCGATCAAGAGGGTATCTAATGTTCGGGCAAGTGCTGCCTGTTGACAGATCTGCAGTAATGTGCGTACATTGAGGCATGCCAAGCTTAAGGAGGATCGAGGGCTCCAAATGGAAGCCGAGGAAATGGAATGGACCGCTTGGTTGGACATGAGCTTGTCGACAGGAGAGGAGTGACGCTCCGCGTTAGCATGTGAGTTGAAATTAGAAGATAGATGCCTAGCAAAGCATGTTGGGGGATGGCTAAGAATGGGGGCTTGAAAACTGGGGGGATAAAAGTGAAGTTGGACCGGGACGATGAGGGTGAAAAAGCGTAAGATGGGGAATAAGAAGACGGGAAGGCTTGAGCAATAGCATCCAAACCCCTATCCACCCTGCTCGATGCAGCAGATAGGGCACCGTTGATTATCCTCTGCGGTGGCCAGAGCATCAGAAATTTGTTTGAAGTGCTATTCATTGTATTGCGTAGGCAGGATAGTGTCAGGTTGCCCAGGCCTAGACAGGAGAACGATTAGGGTTCTCAACCAAAGCCTTTGGTTCAAAAAACCTGACCGCAAGGCAGCGGGTTTGGCGTTGTGCTATAAGGAGTCCGTTTTAAGGAATAAGACGCCACCCTCATTCCAACCCCCAACCTGGAGGACCAGGAGACTGAGTTTGTCTGACCTCTAACCATTGACCAATCTGGTATAAATGACTCTGAAGGTGCAAAAGCACCACCCAGCATAGCTCAATGGATCGCTGAGGCACACAAACCATCGCACCACGGCAAGGTCCAGCCTCCTTGCGATGGACCTCACGATACCCGTCATCTCAAATTCTCCCACTGTTCTTAACTTCTCTAAAGGTATAGGATCAAAGTCACAAAGGCAGCAGATGACCACCCAATACTGTTCCTGTATAATAGCACCAAGTGCGAAGTTGAGTATGCCTCAGTACGCTCATGAGTGCCAGCGCGCCTCATACGAAGACAGTTCCGGCGGGTTCGTCAAATTCGATGGTAGTTTTTCGAATCAGGCCGACAAAGCACCCTAAAAAGTCGACCGACAGTTTACGTTTTTGCGGAGGATTTCGGGCCCTCTGTCTTTTTACTACTGCTCAAAGCTAAAGTGTATCCACATTTGCATTGAGCCACCTTGGTGCAGCAGCCGTAGCATAGGCACAACATCGCCTCATCTGAGATTAAGTGGGCGAACAGACTGTTTCATCTCTCATATTCACCTAGATTGAAAGCTTTATATGGGTACAGCGAACAGTATTGGCGTCTCTGGATGGACCTCCTGACGGTACACCTAATCCACAAAGCCCCAAGTGACATCTACTGCCACCTCGGGAATCTTGGCCGTCATACCAACTTGGGTTGGCTAGGCAGTGCGACCGATTTGGATGTTGTCGGAATTCTTTTCTCCTTCCAAATGTGCAAGCCTTTTCTAGTACATCACTTCATCCAGATGGCTTCTTAGTGTTAAACTGATCCATTGATTTGTACATCGTGTTGGTGCAACATAACAGTGTGCTCAATATAATCTACACCCATGTTCGTATGGATGTCGCGTACTTTTGTTTTTGGGTTACCTGTTTTTGTTTCTGCCCCCCATCACTTTCTAAATATCAGTCGTTTTACTCGGAATCAACCAGTGTTTTTATAACGAACTCATATGCAAACTGTGTCATGTGATCTCTTAATTATGTGCTTATTATTATTTCACCACTAATTAAAGTCGGTCACCTGACCGAAGTTCTAGGTTTGTCAACAGAATGTTTTGCTTGACAGCCGCCGTTGTTTCGCACTATATGCTGTCCCTCCCCCAATGTTTTCTTCCCACTTTTTCTGCAGTCCATCGGTGACACACCAGACTTTACATCCAGTCTCGGAGCACGTCACTCAGTTGGCAGTCTTCCTGATTTCTCCGTTCCGACAGTTGGCCTAAAAAGTTCCGCCATTCCTTCAACCCGAGTCGATGGACGGTTACCCACTAGCGCAGATACACAAAAGTGGAGTTCTATCTCCCGTGGGCGGTATACTAACAAACCCAAGAAAGAGGGTGACTCCGGCTCCATCTGGTCAAGTCATTCCTCTTCCAAGACAGGTTGTAAGCCCTGCGATACATCAGATTGGAATCCGTCTGGTCTAACTGAAGACCAGCAGTTGTCGATAGCCACTATGGAGAGCCAGCGTCTCGCCCAACTTGAGGCGAAAGCACGACGACAAGAGGAAGCTGACCTTGAATTGGCTATAATGCTGAGCAAAATGAACTCGGCAGCAACGTAATGTGTATCGAAGTTGTCGCGCCACTCGTCGACCTCTTAAACTCTCCCCCCCCCCCAATGTTCCAACTGTTGCCTTGCGATTGTTCCTCCTATCCAACGCGTTTAACTTGTCTTATACAACCAATTGTTTGGTCAAGTTTAGCCCCATCCCTTCAAGCATTATTTCTTTTCAGTTATCCAATGAAACGTTACCCGTTGTAGATTGATCACGGTCTTAAATTGCCCACAAGAAATGCATCTTATACTTGCGTTCGCCTTATTTAATCCCTGGGTTGTTGAATTATTTATATAGGTTGTCACGTGTGCGGAACCCGCTTGAAGTCGGAACCATACCAACCATACGAACAACTTATATGCACCATTTTCCAGGGTTGATTAATTGAAAACTTCATATCCGATAATCCGCGCATCAAGTGGATTGCTCGTCGTGCTCGTTTAGAATCCAAACACATGAACCGATTTTGTGCACCATCTTGACAAAAATAATGATCTCCACTATCGAGTCGCAATACACCGGACTGTGCATATAATATTGCTTATAGTATCAGGCAATAAGTGCATACTTACTATGGGGGTCATGAAGTGTCATGTTTTCGGGAGGGTAACACCCATTATTCAAGTGCACACTTAATTTGTGGTATAACTGATCCACAGTCCATTTTAACTACAGCCCTATTTGGCCCCATCTTTCTGATGCTCATAAGCCACCTAGCTGAAGTTCCAAAGCTTTTATGTTTAGTTGTCTTGGATTACATGTGGTTTAGCTTACGTGCACCCTGGATCTGACAACATATGCTCATCACTTGTGAACCTCTTATATGGCCCATTCCTGTCCATACTTTGTTCTTCCAACCACCCTACTACCACCAGCTTCACATCGATGTTGATTTTACTTGATCTTCCGCTTCCACCAGGCTAACCGGTACCGGCACCTCTGGCACCGACACTGCTGGTGTTGTAGCTCATGAGACCTCATTATCTTCATTCAATACTTGTTTCTCGCTTCGCTTATCGTGCTAACTATCTCCCAGCATGTTACAAACTCGCGTTTTGATTGTTTCAACTGGCTAACGTGCATTTTTTGATCCCAACGGTACTAACACGAGCTTCTTGTGCGACTGGCACCACAGGTTCCACAGCTTCCCGGTAGTCACTTGTTTGTACGCTGCCAGTGTGAATTCACTTTCATGCAAGCTTCCATTTGGTACTCATGTTCTTCCCTTGGTTCAGGTCTTGCCTTATGTTACGTAATTTTAGCGGTTGCCATTTTTCACCAGAGAACAGTTGTTCTATAAAAGAGCTTTCCATACTCCCACGGTTGATCGTAGTCTTTAAATATAGGATTGGCTGTATCCAGCTACCTGTCACTGAGGCCTCCATAGGACAACCACAGGTCGCCTAAGCCTAAAGAGCGGCTTCGCGTGGCTTACGCTGCACCATCCACTTTTACACCCACACACCCCCATATCCAGTCTAAACCCGAAGGAATAAGACCGGGAGGCATGTGAATGGGAGCCACGTTTCATCATCGGAGCCGGCCCACACTCCTCCAACATGCAGAACAGAAGCATTCCGGCCCAGTTGGAAGATTATGCACACCAGACGTACTCACGGCAGTGGCTGGGCCGTAGCCCGTTCCACACAGGATGGAACCACTCTTTGAGCTTAGCACGGCCACAAGGACTTGTCATTCTTTCTCCGCATGCACGGAAACTGCCTTCGTGATAAGATCGCGCCATGCACGCCGATCCACCGCTTTCGATTCCAAACACATGAAATTGACATTGTCGGCAGCATCTGGTTCCGGATTTACTTGTCACTGTGGCCTCCACAGGGACAGCCACAAGACGCCTGCGCCTACAGAGGAACCATTGGTGGCTTTCGTTGCACCACCCACACGGCATCTCTAGTGTAAACCCGAAGGAATAAGACCGGGAGGCATGTGGATGGGAGCCACGTTTCATCAATGGAGCCGGCCCACACTCCTTAAACATGCGCAACAGCAGCATTCCTGTCTAAGTGGAGAATCATGCGTACCAGACGTACACAAGGCGAAGGTTGGGCTGTAGCCTGTTCTACACCAAATGCATGTATAGGAGCGCTTCTTAGGTGCGGATTTCGAAATTAATGCCTCATCGTTCTCGGATTCCAAAAGGAAGTGAAAGCATGTATTCCCATTGTTGTATTTCAATGCTCCCACATATTATGCACGGAAGAACAGAGGAAAGCCTGGGAAGGTACGCTGCTGATGTTGGTGCACCTTAGTTGTCAGTTATTCAAAGTTGGTATCGATTGTGTGTTGTCTGGACTTTTGAAAGATGGTCGCTGCAGCTGGTGAAAATGTCAGCTGACTAAGGGTAATGTCCTAGCAAAGCTTATGTACCAAAATGTAAAAAGGTGTCCTGCATACCTCCCTATCAGTGCGCTAGCCGCACGATGTTCAAGCGTTCAGGAATAAAAAACCTGGCAGGAATAGCCGATAAAACTGACCTCTATCTGGTACATTGTCGCAAGAAATGCCCGAGTCTGTGGCATGGGAGACATGCAGGCTAAGGTTCTGTGTCTAAAGTACAATACAAAATTTGGAAGCGAAACAAGATGGTGAATGCATTGACGGTTGTCTTGTTTTTATTAGGCGACACTTCCTCTTCGTCTTGTGAGAGATGTTCTCTGGCATCCTGGCAAAATCTGGAGAACACTAATCGAAAGAAAACGAACAGCAAGCAGTACAGACGAGTGATCAGCACAACAAGTTGGTATTGTCAAGATGCAAGCTGAAACCACCCATTGATCCAAGCACCGTCAGGAGGGAAGTGCACCTCTCCCCCCAGCTCCGATTAAGTCTTCTGGAGCCAGTAATCAAAGTGTATGGTACTAGACTTGTAAGCATCTTCCTCACATACACATCAAACTCAGCGGCACCATCATCATCATCATCATTATACATGTCAGCTAGAGATGGTAAAACACCTCCGCTACTGTACCGCAATACACCGAGAATAACAAACAACCAACATGGAATTCGCTGAATAATAAAAACATTGACGTCGAATATGCAGCAGCATTACAGAGCTGAACAACTCAAATATAATGGTATGCATTTTATTCAGATCACGAAGAACTGGTTTAGGTGTAAGTCAGTACGCAACACAGCGTATATACCATTTTCCTCTTAAATTGGACGTTCTATAAACTACTTTGGACATTTTATAAACCGCTTTGGGCGTTTTCCAAATCACTGGACGTTTTACAAACTGCATACTAAGCAGAAACTCCGCAATTTGCTAGCAACAGATGAGGACTAGGGCGATCGAACGATGTACCGAGTACACTATAATCATGCTACTGTAAATGAATTGCGTTAGTAGCGGGTGCAAACCGTTCTTGTTCGTGAAGCTCGATTAATGTGATGACTGACTCTCCCCCCATCCACCTTCGCGTGGTTAGTGTGCATGTGGCTTTACACATGGGCCTGTGCAGCTGTGTGACATTAGACGGCCAGACTCTCGAATGGCGTAGTCTATTATGACTCAAACAAATGCTACCTAGCTTAAGAGGGTCATCGTGAAACACTCGTTTTGTGAATGGATTACAATGCGCAATCCCAAAGTTGACCGCGATTCCCGCTGAAGTAAACCTTAGGCAATTCGATCTCTGGGACCGTAGCTGATGAAGTAGGAAGACGGCAACCCAGTCGCTCTATTGGACTTTGCGTATTTTGTGTGGGCGAATCTATGCAGATACTGGACTATTGGGACAGTCTAGGTTGTCGTGACTCCGCTGTACCCATCGCTTTATTAGCCTTGACCTGCACGAAACTGAGGGGCGAACGAGAAGTGCCCACTGCTGGCCGAGTTCTGTTGCGTTCGCCTGAGCACAATATGTCCTCAACGCCCTCTAGTCGTCTGTTGATGGTGACAAATTTCAGCAGTAGACAACTAATGCTAGACGAATTTTTGTGTTCTCTTGGTATTTTGCACTGTTCCACTTTTCTAGTGGCTACACATTTTCTCCCCTACGCCCACACAAAACACGCGAACGCCAATAGAGGGACAGGGGATTCTGGGTCACCGGCTTTGACCGAGGTGTACGACGTCCATGATCAAGATGACGGCTTGCACAATCACCCACTACTTGCACAGTTCCGTTGCATTCGTATGAACACTATGTGGCCTCAACATCGTCTAGTCCTCTGTTCTTGCTAACAAGCTGCAGCCGTAGGTCAGTAAGGCTGGAGTGCTTCTAGTGGAGTCATAGTAGCATCCACTGTTCCAGTAGTCGTATAGCTCTATAGCTTCGCCCACACCCACACGAATAATGCGAAGGGCCATAGAGTGGCTGGGGATCACTGTGTCTCCGCCTATCTACTTCATCAATCACAGTCCCTGTGATCGAATTGGCCAATTTATACTTCAGTGGGAATTGCGGTCCACTTTGAGATTGCGGATCGCAATCCATTCACAAAACGAGTTTTTCTCAATAACCCTCTTAAGCTAGGGTACAAGTGTTTAAGTCATTTAAGACTATATAATTCAGGCGTCTGACTTTTCAGTTTTCACACTGATGCACAGGTTCATGCGTGAAGGTACAGGCACATAAACTACACGAACGTTGATGGGGAGGGACGGGCACACTCCGTCTCTGTCCTTGATCGAGTTTCACAATCAAGAGAACGGTTTGCAGTACACCCGCTGTTTACGCAATTCAGTTGTAATAGCGTGACTGCGATGTAGTCTGAACATCATCTAGTCGCCCTAGTCCTCATTCCTTGCTTGCGAATTGCTGTTTTTATGCTTAGAGTGCTGTGTGTCCAAATCGGTTTGTAAAATGTCCAGTTTGTTTTGCAAGATATCCAAACTGGTTTGCAATATGTCGAAGTGGTTTGTAATCAATTTCAAGTGAGTATGGTCTACTGAATACTGAAATTAGCCAGCGAGAAGATATAAATCTGTATTGCTCCATCGTGGTTCGATCGAGCACCTGCGCGGAATCACGTCGCTGATCCATCGCGGTGGCAGCTTATTACAGCTGCACTACATGTTATCCAGATGCGATACTCTCCCTATACCCGTAGTCCGCAAAGTGGGCGTCGAGCGATCTCTTGAATTCCGACACCGATTTTGCCTCGACTATTGTCTCCGGCAACTTTTCCCAATATTTCACCACTCGAAGCATAGTGGATGAGTGATGCGTTTTAAATCCAGCGCCGCTATTTTCTACCGGTGTCCGCGTATGCTGCTTGGTGCGC